TTGCTACCAACATGAAATTCTCACAGGCCTACGACATTTGTCTTAGCCAGAATATTGGAGAACAGGTATATTATATATAACAAATTTTCAAGGTTATATTTTCATAATTTCATAAACTAACTTTAAAGTTAAATAAAATTTATAAATTAACAAAATAACTTTAATGAATAGACTTGGAAAAGTGTTGGGTTAAACACACATGTAAGTTTCAGTGTTTTCTTAATTAAGCTTCTTTTGTACTCGGATCAATAACAGGGGTATCCCTAATGATTAAAAGTTCAGATTAAATTGTTTTAGGGTTTTAGAGTTATATTTGCCTCTCTAAATTTTTCAACGTCACAAACCAAACTCTATAATTCTTCACTATCCATGTTTACTTATTAGGAATAGGCATTGAAATTATTCCAATTCCTGACTTCCCACGCATAAGGAATCAGAACTTAAATGGGTTCCACCTTATACCTCAAAATCGGGAATGGAATCAACTAGGAGGTGTTGTCGATCCAATTCCAATACCTTGATTTCCATATCTAAATTCCCCAATTCATAGCCTGCCCCCTTCACCCAAGTTCTAATCCCCCTTCCTAAATTAAGAGTTGAATTGTGTTTGTTTCAGACTCTGCATATTCAATTTTGTTAGTGTTTTCTAATGTATGAGAGTGATAGTGACGAAAGAGAGAAGAAGAAAGATTGAGAATGGCAAAGAGAATGAATCGTTCTCTTACTGCTCTGCAACTCTAAAGCAGAGGAATGTTCCCTTTCTATTTCATTACAACCTCACGCACTTTGAGTGAGGAGTATTACCGTTAGGCATAGTAGCTGGATTCTTTACATCACAAGACGATCTCAGCCATCCATCTAACTATCCGATATCATTGGTCTCCTGCACCTATTTGTAGCATTTGAATCAATTAAGTTATAACCTTATAAGTACGATTGCCTAATCTGCTGGGGCAGTCATTACCATGGTTTTAATTCTTTCTCTACTTTGTTTTTCCCTGGGAAATGATATTGTGGGGCTAATTAGCTCACTGGAGTTATGATTTGGACTTGGGCCTCTGCTATTTTGGGGATTTCTTAGTTGGGTCAGGTCTCTAAGGCCTGTTTGATTTGTATTTCTAATTCTGTGTAGTTGCTTCTGGGTTGTATTGCCCTCCCCACTCCAGTTCACAAAGAAAAAAAAGACGGTGTTGTTCTCTAAAATTCGATGATGAAAATTTTCCTCTTAGGCAGTCAATGTTAGCCTTGGAAGTTCGCATAATTGCTTTTTGAATATTGGGGCTCATTTTATTGCCATCAATATATTTAGCAATATTGCTAAATATAGTTGTTAAGTTGCATTATTGCTATCAATATTTTTTTATAGTTGTTAGTTGGAATGTTGGGGCTCAGAGGGTTGAACATTATTGCTATCAATATTTTATTATGGGTTAATGACCTAAATGGTCCCCCAACTATCGCGAAATTATCATTTTGATCCACCAACTAAAATTTTCAATTCAAACGTCCTTAAACTTTTTATAATGTACCAAAATCGTCCTTCCGTCAAAGTCTGTGTATTATTCCGTTAAATCGAGGGACAAAACCGTATTTTTAGGTGAGTATATTTAACGGAATAATACACAGACTTTGACGGAAGGACGATTTTGGTACATTATAAAAAGTTTAAGGACGTTTGAATTGAAAATTTTAGTTGGTGGACCAAAATGATAATCGCGCGATAGTTAGGGGACCATTTATGTCATTAACCCTTTTATTATAGTAGTCGCATTATTGCTATCAATATTTTATTATAGTTGGTAAAGATGACCATCCTCCAATTTTGTGGACTTTGAGTGATTAACATGGAAGATGAGCTGGTATCAATTATCAGCTGCCTTAAATAAAAGGAAATAGTCAAAACATGTATGATATATCACGGCAACAACTTTGAGTACTTTGCGAAGGCCAAGTCCTCTTCTGGTGCCCCAAAGGTTTCAATATCAATAATTTGCATTCAGTGGTTTTTGTTTCCCGACTTCTCAATTTCCATTGTGTGGTGGTGGTTTGCATCGTTTTCAAGCATGGTTGTTCTTATATATATATATATATATATAAATACATGTGAGCAACGGCATATACACAAAGCAACATGCTAGTGCAAGCTTATAACCTAAGGGCTCATGGCTTCCTTCTCTTCCTCTTATTCTCTTGCATTATATCTACATATATTCATGCCTGCAAACAGATTTGCCTCCACTCTATCTTCTTCTCCTTTAAATTGGACATCCCTTGATTGCTGTCGTTGGAAGGGCATCACTTGTGATCAAGATGGTTGGGTCACCCATTTACTCTTACCTTCCAAAGGGCTCAAAGGAGGTATCTCTCCCTTTTCACTTGCAAATCTCACCCATCTCACCCACTTGAACCTTTCCCACAATTCACTATATGGTTCACTTGAAACTCAATTCTTCTTGTCTTTGAATCAACTTGAGATCCTTGATTTCAGCTATAACCGTCTTTTTGGAGAACTACCACTTTCTCTACCATCTGGTAATATACGAACAGTTGATTTGTCCAGCAATCACTTCTTTGGTGCAATTCCATCTTCATTCTTCCAACAAGCAAGCAACTTGACTAGTTTCAATGTCGGCAACAATAACTTCGCAGGGTATGTCCCATCCTCTATTTGTCTTCATTCTTCTCCCTCCCTTAGGCTATTGGATTTTTCTTCCAATGTATTCAGTGGCAACCTTGCTCCTGGGCTAGGAAAGTGTTCCAAACTGCAGGTTTTTCATGCCGGTCACAATAACCTCTCGGGATTATTTCCAGAAGATATCTTTAATGCTACCAAACTTGAAGAAATTGCATTACCTCTCAATTCACTACATGGAGCCATTAGTGATAGAATTGCCAACCTTACTAACCTTGCAATCCTTGACCTTTACTTTAATCAATTGAATGGTGAGCTTCCTCACAATTTGGGGAAGCTCTCCAAGTTGAAATTGGTGACCCTTGATTTCAACAATTTAGAAGGTTCTTTGCCCAAGTCTTTGATAAATTGCACAAACCTTGTAGAACTGCATTTGGTAAACAACAACTTGGAAGGAGATATCTCCATGCTTGATTTTTCCAGACTGAGTCAACTTACTAAACTTGACCTCAGGGTGAATAACTTCACTGGTACGGTTGATGTAGCCCTTTACTCTTGTCGGTCATTAAAAGCCATTGGATTGAGTAGAAATCATCTAGAGGGACAAATACAAGCTGAAATTATTTCATTGAAATTCCTTGTCCTTCATCTGCCTTGGCAACAACCGATTCACCAACCTCACAGGGGCAATGAAGATATTAATGAGTTGCAAAAGTCTTCACGTACTTATGCTTGATGGTGCCTTTAAAGGTGAGGGAATGCCATCTGATGATGACATGGTTGATTTGACGGATTCCAAAATCAACTTGTCAGATAACCAATTTTCAGGTGAATTTCCAAAGCAACTTTGTAGACTACCAAGGTTGGTATATGAACCTAATATTGCATCTCAATTAGACGACACTAGTTATGAATTTGAATTGCCTATCTTCAGCAGCAGTAGCTTCGGCATATTTGCAAAGCAAACTATTCTACAACAAAAAACGTCTTCTGTTCCAGCAATGATACGCTTATCTAACAATAACATTAGTGGTTATATACCTGCTCAGATCGGCCAATTACATCTTCTCCGCCTACTTTTTCTTGACTCCAACACCTTTTCTGGCGTCATTCCAGACCAAATATCTAACCTAAAATTTTTAGAGATTTTGGACCTCTCCATGAATCACTTGTTTGGAATAATCCCATTGTCATTGGTGATCCTTAATTTCTTAAAAGAATTTAATGTCTCATATAATAACCTCGAAGGATCGATACCAACAGGCACCCAGCTCCAAAGCTTTGAAGCTTTTGCGTTTGAGGGGAACCCAAAACTTTGTGGTGCCGCACTTCCAAATAAGTGCGGACCAAATAAGGACATGGATGTAGATAACAAGAACAATAAAGACGTGGAAAATGTGATTCCATGGTTTTATATCTTTGCAGCGTGGGGATTCATAGTAGGATTTTTGGGAGTTTGTGGTTCTTTAGTTACGAACAAGACATGGAGATATGCGTATTTTCGATTCATAGACAATCTACAAGATATGCTCCTTTATGTGATGTAACAGTCCCCCTCAACAGGATGAAAAGAAGGCTTAGAGGCTAGATATATATTATTAATATTGTACTTTTTATTTTGCATTTCAATTTGCTTTACCCATTTTTTTTTCTTATTCTTCATTTCTAAGTAACCGGACTCAAATTTAAAGGATATATGTTTGGTTCATAAAGTTGTCATGACACATCCTATACAACTTATAACAACATGGATATTGGCAAGCCAAATCAGATATTTCATGTGCTTGAAAGCGGATGATATAATTTCTGGTCATGACAGATTCACTGACAAATTTTTCACTGCATTATCGCCGGATGGACCTCTTCCATGAAGCCCTGAAAGAAAACAAATGCAAATAACTGCCCATAATTTAAAATCAGCCAAACATTTAAAAACGAAGAAGAAGAAGACTCTATCTCTCTCTCTCTCTCTCAAAAACCAAAGACTTAAAATTGAAATGAAAATTCATGACTTACAGCCAACGCCAACAAAATAAAGCAAACGGAGTAGCTTTGGGGCTGGGGGGGGCCCACTAATTCTTCTCCACTCATTTCTCTTCTCTTCTCTTCTTCAGACTTTTCTATGCGACAAGTAAAGAAATGAGAAAGATCACGACATGTTTTTGGTCAGAAACTGAAATGGGTTGGATCATTTTGAACTTGGCCAGAACCCAATACTTTATATTACAAATGTTGGGCCATAACCGACTCAGCCCATAAAGAGCTTTATGTAGCATGTACACCTTGTCTTCCTTGCCTTTGATCACAAAACCCTCTAGTTGATCTATATAAACTTCTTCTTGCAGCACTCAATTTAGAAAGGCTGATTTTACATCAAGTTTATATAATTTCCAGTCTTTCTGAGCGCTAGAGCAATGAGCGTTCTTATGGTGTCCAACCTAGCTACAGGAGCATAAGTTTCATTGTAATCCAATCCAGGTTTCTGAGCATAACCTTTGGCAACTAACCTTGCTTTATTCTTTTGAACTGAACCATCCAAGTTTAGTTTAGTTTTGTAAACCCACTCGACTCCAATAACTAGCTTCTCAGTTGGTTTATCCACTAACACCCATGTGCCATTCTTTTCAATCATTGACAATTCATCTTGCATAGCTTTCAGCCATGATTCATCTTGAGCTGCTTCTGCATACTTCTCTTGTTCCATGATGCACAGATTGCATTGTGCAAGCACATAATCTAATCTCTTCCATTTCGATGGTGATTGGTCATAAGCTTGAGTATCTCTCTCTTCTCTGCTCATGCCATTTGACATGTTTTGTGGTGATGTTTGACGAGACAATGAGTCTGTGCCATCTGTCCATGAGCTCCTTCAATGTCGGGTCTGAGACTGAGGTGTTAGTAAAACATTCTCACCTTCTCCATCTTCCATTCTAAAGCCATGATCACTTTGACTTCCATCTTTGAATGGTGCCATAGCTTTATCAAAATTCTCTGTCCAGTTCCAAGATGCCTCTTCATCAAATGTGATATCATGACAGTGAGAGTTTCTCGAAGATTGGATCAAAGATTCTATATCCTTTCTCACAAGTTGCATACCCAACAAACACTCCTTTCACACTTTTAGATTCAAGTTTGTGCCTTAGTTAAGCTAGAACTTGAACATAACACAAAGAACCAAATATCTTCAAGTGTGCAATACCTAGCGTTCTTCCACTATAGGCTTCAAAGGGTGTGATATTGTTCAATGCTTTTGCAGGACACCTATTCAGAATGTACACAGCTGTGTGAATAGCTTTTGCCCAAAGGTAATAAGGCATTCCCTTTTCATGTAGCATGAATTTGGCCATTTCAACCACAGTTCTGTTCTTCCTCTCTACCACCCCATTATGTTGAGGGGTATAAGTAGGGTTGGCAATAGGTCGTGTCATGTCTGGATAATAAACGTGTCAAGAATGCTCAACCCAAATCCAACCCATTTAATAACCGTGTCGTGTCGGGTTCGGATCGTCTTTTATCGTGCAGGTTTCGAGTCATGTAACGAGTTCATAAATAATAGCATGCATGTTACGAAACTCACAACTGAAAAAATTTAAATTAAAAAAAAAATAGAGAGAGGAGAGAAAATATAAGGAAAAAAAAGATAGAGAGAAGGAAAAGAAAGAAAAAAAATAGAGAGAGATGAGAGAAGAGAAAAGGAAAGAAAGAAAGAAAAAACACAGATGAGAGAAAACTAAAGAGAAGGAAAAGAAAGAAAAAAAGATAGGAGAAAGAAGAGAGAATGAAAAGAAATAGAAAAAAAGAAGAAGAAGAAAGACGGAAAAGAAAGGAAAACAAAAGAAGAAAAAGAAACATTATAAATATCAAAAGGCATAACATATAATCACAAAGTTGTTTGTAGCATGGTGGATAAGATGTTGGAAAGAAATGAGGATGGTGAGGGTTTGAAACCCCTTATGTGTGTGCTGAAGTCTCCATTACTCTTCATTTTTTAGCAGGTTAGCGTGTATTACACAGGTTGACATGACCCGTTTAATAAACGAGTTAAACATATGTTTTAACGGGTTGGCGGGTTGACCCAAAACCCACCCGTTTAATAAACGAGTCATAACGGGTTGACTCGAAAATTACCCAATTATTAATCATGCGGGTTTGGGTCGTGTTTTTTCCATGCGGGTTTCAAGTCATGTAATGGGTAGTGTAGGAAATTGCCACCCCTAGGTATAAGCCATTGTGAGTTGCCTATGCCATGATCTTCACAAAACTGTGTAAACTCAGAAGACAGAAACTCTTCTCCTCTTCCATTTTTAGCGGGTTAGCGTGTATTACACGGGTTGACATGACCCGTTTAATAAATGAGTTAAACATGTGTTTTAATGGCGGGTTGACCCAAAACCCACCCGTTTAATAAACGAGTCATAACGGGTTGACTCGAAAATTACCCAATTATTAATCATGCGGGTTTGGGTCGTGTTTTTTCCATGCGGGTTTCAAGTCATGTAATGGGTAGTGTAGGAAATTGCCACCCCTAGGTATAAGCCATTGTGAGTTGCCTTTGAATGCCATGATCTTCACAAAACTATGTAAACTCAGAAGACATAAACTCTCCTCCTCTGTCACTCCTCAAGCACTTCACCTTGTGTCCATATTGAAGTTTTGTCATAGCTTTAAATTTTCTGAAGCAGTTGAACGCATCTGATTTGTATCTTAAAAAGTACACCCATATCATCCTTGTGAAGTCATCAATAAGTAGCATGAAATACTTGTTTCCTGCAATAGACTCATTCCTCATAGGGCCACATAGATCATCATGGATTAACTCAAGAGGAACATTTTCTTTTAGAGCTTGATCTTTTGAAAAAACATTTCTGTGATGTTTTCCAAATGGTTAACCCTCACACACAACACTGTGTTCTTCTAGTTGTGGCAGTCCATGCACTATGTCCTTGTCTCTTAACTGTTTTAGCCCCCTAAAATGCAAATGTCCTAGCCTTTTATTCCAAGTCCATGTGCAATGAGTGACACCGTCCTTCATGGCTAATTGATTCTCAGCTAGTAGAAATAAGGGATAACATCTATTCTTCTTCATTGGAACCTTGATGATGAGACAGTTCATTGAAGAGCTATCAAACACCTTGTACATTCCTCCTCCAAACAACATAAAATACCCATGCTCATCTATTTGCCCAACACTCAGCAAGTACTTCTTCAATTCTGGAAGATACATCACTTCTCTGATGTATTTTCTGCCTCTAGTTGTATCTATGACTAGTGAACCCATGCCAGCTACATTCACAAGTGTATCAGTTAACATTTGCACCTTCATAGCCACATTTGTTCTCACATTAACAAGAAGATCCATATTGCTAGTCATGTGATTGCTACAGCCACTGTCAATGTACCACTCTCCATTTGTCTTTGCCTCAGTGGTTGCATAGTTTGCATAGAACAGATTTCCAGTCACTTCCATTTAGCTTGCACAATTTGCCTTTTGTACAGATTTTCCTGTAGTACAGTCTCTAGCCAAATGACCAAACCTATCACAGTTATAGCATTTTGGCTTTCCCTTATATCTACATTCACCAAAGTGGAACTTTGAGCACACTTTGCAATGTGGTTTTACACCTTCTTGACCCACTAGTTGTGATGGATTCAAATTCTATGCAGGATTGTTTTGTTGAGGCTTTCCTTTTGATTCCCACTGTTTACCCTTGGGATTCCAATTTTTCTGAAATTTGGATGAACCAGATTGAGCACCACTCTTGTTCTGGCCTTTTGGACTCATAGTGAATGAGGCAAATGCCTTCTCATTTGTATCCATATTGTGCAAATCGAACCGTTTGTTCTTGACTCTTCAAAATAGCAATCACTTCTTGCAATTCTACAGTCTCTAGACTCTTTGTGTTTTCAATCACAAGGCATGTGCGATCATACACCGTACTGAGACTAATCAAGACCTTTTGAACAAGCCTCTCATTCGAGGGAACCTCACCAAATGTTTTCATTTGATTAATCAACTCATTCAATCTTGTAAGATAATCAAACAGAGACTCATTATCATGCATTGTAGTATATTCAAATTCACATACGAGGTTTTGAAGTTTCACCAATCTAAATTGATCACCACCATGTTATTCTCCATAAAATAGCTCCCATGAAGATTTAATCGGAAACTGCATTTTGTATGATACCTAGAGCTTTTGCATCTTTCATGAAGATTGTAGCCATTTTCTCATCGTCTTCTTCTTTTGAGGTTTCCTCAGATGTCTTCTTCTTCTTCTTCGAATCAGAGATTGGAATTCCCTTTTCCACCAGATTCCATAACCCATATGATTTGAATATGGTTACCATCTTGATTCTCCAAAACTCGTAGTTCTCATCGAAGAAGATCAGAGTTCTCATCTCTGAGCTTCCATATCCAGCCATTTTTGATCTCAAGTACACCAAAAAAACGAGTTATTTTCAGATCAAGAAGAAATTGAGCTTCAGCAGCTTTCGCAAACCTTGTGCGAGCTTCGATATGCCCCAAATGATTTCACAGTTCGAACCCCAGTTCAAATGATCAAACCTGGCTCTGAGGCCATGTTAGTGTTTTCTGATGTATGAGAGTGATAGTGACGAAAGAGAGAAGAAGAAAGATTAAGAATGGCAAAGAGAATGAATCGTTCTACTGCTCTGCAACTCTAAAGGAGAGGAATGTTCCCTTTCTATTTCATTACAACCTCACGCACATGGAGTGAGGAATATTACCGTTAGGCACAGTAGTTGGATCTCTTACATCACAAGATGATCTCAGCTCCATCTAACTATCCAATAGGATCACTACATTTGGCAATGGAAAAATAAGAAACAAAAGACTGTTTTAACTAACTTCTATTTCAGCTTAAGAACTTATAATTCAACAAATTTGGGTCTGGAGAAGCAAACAAAGTTGTGCATGCTTCAGCCCAACATGCTTTGAACTCAGAGTCCAGTTTGCATTGGTTGGAAGATGTACCAATTTGCTTGATTCTCTTATTCAAGCTGATAGTGATGTATCTTATGTTTTCTATTGAAATAATACTACCTTTCAACCAATTTCATTGTGCTTTCTCTATGTTTCAGGAAATCTTCGGTAGTAGTAGTCGTAGGGTTTTGGACAATTTCATTGGTCTTCCATTTTTCCATCGCCAAATCAGACGTGATTTCTGGAACGTTCCTGAGAAGGATACTGTTGATGCTCTTTTTGGGAGGTCAACTTAGAGAGTAGGTGATAGTAGATGATAGGTGAAGGTGAGGACCTTCAGTCTGTATGTGAAGACTTAGGCAAGCGATAAATGTAAAGAAGACAAGATATACGTGGTTCACTCTTAATAAACGGGCTACGTCCACGGAGAAGTATGTTCTCATTATAATGGTGTATGATTACATTTGTACATGGGATAGGACCCGAATATAAAGACGACAAGTGATATGCCCAGGCCAGGGATCTAGAAGAGAGTCCCTGGCCCCAGGGTCTAGCTCTGAGATCCGGATCCTCTTGTCAGTTGAGATAAGTCCCCTTTTACATGGATATTATTCCCTATTTATAGGGAGGTGAAAGTGGGAGGTTTGCATAGAATTTCGATGTGGGACTTTGTGCAAGTCGCTGTGGTGGTGACACGTGTCATGGTGTTGATGCTCTTGGTGCTAGTTGCTTTGATGCTGGATATGCTCAGTTGATTATGGTGTAAACAGTAGTCCCCCAAGTTCGAGGTCAAGAAGTAACTTTTAGGTTAGGAACTTGTGAGTTTTTTGTGTAATCATGACCGAGCATTCCAGGTTCAGTGGGAGCCGCAGGGCAGTCCCTAGTCTCCCAAGTTGGCAAGCTAGAAGTTGCGTTAACACTTGATAGCTATGTGAGCTTCGAGTCTTCAAGGCTAGGGTATTGAGGGAGAAGGGTGTGTCCCTTAGATTTTTACAGGACCTGCCATTCGGCAAGTCCTTGATTCAAGCACCACTTAGCTTTGGCAAGACTGGGTCGATAGAGGCCGGGTACCCGAGCTCTGGGGAAGGGTAATTTTGAGCTGATCCTTCGGTAAGCAGGCATTTCTTGGTGCACCGTTCTACTCCGCTCAACCCTTGCGCCCATGCTGAACAGCAAGGGTGGTTTGAAGGATTTTTGGAGCTTTCAAAGTCGGGTCGTCTGGATCTCGTAAGTTGGCCGTGACTTGGAGCTCGGTTCTTTTTATGATTAGGGCAGTTCGGCTAAGAGTTTGAGCTAGTCCAGAACTAGGTGTTGGAGGTTCGGCACGGTTTAGCTGTCTCAACTATTTCGACAGGTGAGACTTTGCCTTCTAGCTTCGACAAGAGTGGAGCTGGGTTCAGAGTTGATTCTTGGAAGGAATAGATAAGAGCTGGGCCTTTGGCAAGTCTAGGCTACACGAGCTGGATCTCTGATAAGGTAAGTAATTTGTGAGTGCCATTTTCTCTGTTGCCCAACCCTTGCCATTCGACAAGGGTGCCTTGATTAAATTTTGTATGCCTTGATTTTTTCTTCACGATGCCTGCCATTTGGAAAGTTTGACTTGAGAACTCTATGTTGTTTTGTTGTGAACAAAGAAGCTTTGATTTGTGTTGGGTTTGGGCTGTTGGAAAATCCTTGCTGTTTCGGCAAGGGTGGCAAGGGTGGGTTGAGTAAATTTTTCGAGGTTCTGGAAGAGTTGGTATCGTGATCACGGTTCCAGCAAGATTTGGCTGTCTCTAATCCTTCAGCAGGTGGGACTTGGACAGGAGACTTGGTGCATCCCAGCTCCAGCAATGTCTCTGCCGATCGGCAAGGATGCAGGAAGGGGTTTCTTGGTGTCGTGATTTCTGCATGGCTGACCCAGCTGGAGCTGGGTCTATGTCAAAGCCGGGGCTGTGAGGGTGGATCGAAAAATTAAGCTTCCGTAGGAAAAGGAAAAGGGAGCTGGACCTTTGGTTACCGCAGCTGGAGGTGAGGACTTGAAGCTGGTCCTATTTCGATTTTTCGGAGGAGAAGGATAGTGAGGCCTCTCAAACTCGCAGCATGACCCTTGCCGTTCGGCAAGGGTGCTGGGTCTTTGTGAGTCATGGTTTTTCTTGGAGTTTGCCTCGACAAGAAAGAGGTTTGAGAGCATCTTTGGAGCTGGGAAAGTATCGGTACGGTTTGGCCAATTGGTTGACTTGGATGATGGACCTCTGTCAATCCGTAGTACATTTTTCCACATTTGCTGAATTATGTCCAACTTGCTAGCCCTTAAATCATAGAATGACAGTGTGCCAAGCTTTTGATTTAAGTGATGAAGGATGCTGGGTGCGTAGAGGAATTTCTTGGCGGGGTGTGCCATATTTTGGAGACAATATGTGAGGTGCCGATCTGAATCTCGTTTTGTCTTCAGATGGTGGGATTTTTGGTGGCTTCCTTTGGGTCTTGTCCATCAGCATGTTGGGATGATATAAATTTGATATTTCTCACCCCTTGGCGAATATTTAGGCTTTTGGCAAGCCTCTTGGTGGCCGGGCCTTTAAAGCTTCGGCAAGAAAGTCGTGAGTTTTTCGACCTAGCCTTGCGTTGTTGAAATGGGCTAGATCATTTAGAGCGTGGCATAGTTTCAGGGCTAGGCTGGTTTTGAAGGAGGTGAGCCATCAGATTTTGCCATTCGAAATGCTCAGATTTTGCACGCAATTTGGGGCTGGGCTCTTGGAGCTGGGGTCATGGATGTAAGAGTGGCCATTCGGTATTCAAGCACTCGTAATCTTGGATTTCCGAGAGTATAGTATTATGTGTCCTGGGTCTTGGGTTTTTGTCAAGCCTTGGAGCCGAGCCTGGGGCGCAAACTCTTGTAAGGGGCTGGCTTATGTTGGCTGGGCACAAGCAGAATCCCTTGAGCTGGGCCTTCCCATTGTGGCTAAATATTTTCAGAAAGTAGCTGGGTCTTTGAAGGATGGACTTGGAATCCTTGAGGTTGGGCCTTTGGCATCGTGGTGTTTGCGAAAGTGGTGTTGGAGTCGAGCTGTGGTTTGGTATGGTAACTCATTGCGCCTTCCCTTAAAAAAATTTATGCTCCTTGCTGTTCAGCAAGGAGGCCAAAGGGGTACCGAAGATAGGCCTAGGCCAGAGGTGAGCAAGGGCTAGTGTTTGTTGGAAATGGTGAGAGCAACCCATAGCCATTACACAACCCTTGCCATTCGGCAAGGGTGTTTGGGGAGAATAATTTCGAAAAGCAAGGAGTTAGGCCCTTGGGGTGTATTTAGGTTCTTGGCAAAGACATGGGGTCAAATAGGCTGGGCCTTACTAGAGCGTTCGACAAGATTGTCCTTGGAGCTAGGCTTTGGCAAAAGGAGCCGGGCTGGTTCACGCAGAGCTGGTCCTGGTCTTAGGAAGACTCGGCAAGTAGTGGAGCTGGGCCTTCAATGTTGTGGTAAGGCTGATGCTTGAGAAATTTGGGAGCAAGGTCCCAGCCACCTCTTAGAAAGCCTAGGTTGCTT